AGTGTCCCAGTCTGTCATCCAGGAGCCGGCTGCTTTTGAGGTGCTAATCAATACCCCTTCAACCCGCCCTCCCCCTCCTCTCATCTTCCATCACCTCTCTTGCAGAAAACCCCATCAAGCATTGGCAGGTGTGTCTGTCAGGTTGTTAAAGATATGACGCTGCTGCGCTCAGTCCCCCTGAATTCATTAACCTACATCTGAAGGATAATTCAGGCGCCGGTCGTTGACCATATGTGCTTTGATTGCTGAATTCCTTCCCACTTGTGGGATTTAAAGTAAAGGCTGTTTTTTAATAACACATGCAGATGGCCTCTGGTGTTTCGTCACCCCTCCGTCTCTCATCCTCATCTCATCTGGGAACGCTGATCCCACGTTACACTCTTTAAGATGCTGTGCTTTTTTTATTTATTTATTTTTCTGCAATAAACTGTAAAGTCCTAAAAAATTGGCAACTCCTGTTTTAATCAAGCTGGCTCCGATTCTCCCACCAGTCCTCCTCATGCTGTTATGCAATAAAAACCCAAATGTTAATCTGATAAATGCCTGAAACATGTAAAGAGGACTGTTTTGAGAAGTGAAACATGCATATTTTGCTGCATCTTTTTCCCCGACAGAAGATTGCATTCTTGAATATCTTTGAATAAGTGTAAATGCAGCACCTGAGAACATCACTGGACTGGGAGCTAAAGCGAATTTGAACTTTAAGGACTTGTAGTAGAACTCTGCTGGATTTATAGTCGAGTGATAATTTGAAATCTGGTAAAAAAAATAAAAAAAGGAAAAGATGTTCATCTCTTGCATTCAAATGTGCCCACATTATCGGAATAAATGCAGCGTCAGGGCATGTTGTGGGCTATTACCTCCTGTTCCAAAAGCTGTTGCGGATATTGTTGCTGAGACAGACGTTGCAGTGGTGGGGCTCTGCGCTGGCACGAGTCACAGAATTTGCCAACTCTTCCTTTCTAACAACTTTTTTCCAAGCATCATGGGAATGTGTGTGTGTGTGTGTGTGGGGGGGGGGGGGGGGTAACAGCCAGAGCGAGGAGAGGAATCAGTCAGCTGGGACTTTGGGAGGTTGCTTACTCTGATGCTTCCTGCGTGTATCAAATTAACCCCGAGCTGCACCCAGCTCTACCTCCACCTCCTCTGGCTGTGGCAGAGCAGGTCCACACAAGCCACGAACTGTAAAAATTAGAATTTCAACCGCTAGTAAATAAACAAAGTCTCATGAGAGTTTGTGAACCTGTCACAACTCCGTTCATTGGACATAAATCTTTTTTTATGTACGTGGGAGTTTCACCTTTTTAAAATGTCCGCAAACAAATGTGTACCTATTTGAGTGTTTTAAAAAAGTCCTGGTGGGGTTGAAGGTGGAATTAAATGCATGGTTTCTTACCAAAACCATTATTTTTTAAGCCGTTTCTCAATTTCAAATTCTCTAATACAGGGATGGGCAACTGGAAGCTCATGGGTGACTTCATTCGAATGAGGCTCCGCCCCTCCTGTCAGAAACTAAGAGCTGCTTTAATAGCTTTCTAAAATCAGAAAAAAAAATAAAGTTTTAATTTTGGGAGACTGTCTGCTCACAGAATTTCAAGGCAAACCGATGTGTTTAGTCTGCTTAGAGACACTGTTTGCCATGAATTAATGTTACCACTATGTTGCACAAAGCTAAATATGAGACGTTTACTGAAGTTATTAGCACATAAACAGCAATTTATTTTACGAGAACCACAACCACACAGGAGTCTGACTCAAGGCATCAACGCCATTACGCCTCAGCTCACTAAAGTTTACATTTTGTTTGCTTGAAATGTTTTATATTCATATTTATTGAACAAGAGTACAACAGTTATACATGCATTTAAGCATGAAATATTTTAAGTAACTGCATGATTGATAGATAGATAGATAGATAGATAGATAGATAGATATGTTTATAGTTCTATAAAAGTTACTTCCCCAGCATTTTTGTAACATTTTTACTTTTAATAACGAATTTCACCAGTATTCAACTCGTAGAAATTGTCTTATTACTACCCCTACTGTTGTCCAAATCAAACACCGTTTAGTGTTTTATACAGGGGGTCAAAGATATGGAACGGTCTTCCAGGATCTCTCTTGGAAGTTTCCAAAGAGATTATTTAAGCAAAGAATCAGATTGTTACTCTTAAGTTGTTCTGGTTTCCCTTATGTGTTTGATTATTGAAAGTATTTTTTCTTTTTTTGCTATTTATGTAGAGTAGTATTTTATTTTTTTGTAACGTATGGATTTTTTAATTAGTGTAATTTTTGTTATTTCTTTTTCAGTGATTGCCGCTTGTCAAGCCCCTTGAGGGTTTCTTGGCAATTCTCCTTCACATCTGTTTTTTTCTATGACTCTTACTTTTCTTTTTTGTTTTATTTTATTCTTATTATTATTTTATGAAATTTTTTTACTGTGAAATAAAGACTAAAATGGATGGATGTGTAAGAAATACGTGTTTAATATCGGCTGAAGTCAAATGAAAACACAAATGTTAAATAAATTGATCTGTGATAGGAATGAATGTCATACAACACCAGAATTCTGGATCTGAGTGAGGTTTTATTTGTCACGGGCTGCCAAGCGAAACCACACTGGATGAAAGACAGGAAATGCATGTTTTTATACATGATTCTTCAATGCCTGAGTTCGCCCCCTACTGACCTACGGCTGAATCACAGGCATTCAGACAAAGACCTCAATCTAATGGTTTAAACCGGTTCACTTACGTGTTGTTATGATTCAGACATGTATCTACTCTATTTCAATTAACAATAGATCAAACATTATACAAATATTATAAAAAGGAAACCCTAATACTCTGGTGTTGTTTTCTAACATCAGTACTAATCTATAATAACTATAAATTTCTTCAGATGGATGGATGGATGGATGGATGAAAGATAGATAAAGTCATGTTTTGGCTTCATTTCTCTGAACTAAAAGAACTCTGACAGGTAAGATATTTGGTCATAACCTTTCCTGAGATATTTCCTTCATATCAGAACTTTCCCTTTTTTGCTCCTGGGATTTCATGGCAGCGTTTTTTTTCTCTATTTCCCCTCTTGACCAGAAACACTGGTGTGATTTCCTTGCATTACTGCACCTGTATACCAGATTTCTCATAAAGTATTCAGTGGATGACGGTCGTAACGTCTGAACATTTGGAAGTTAGGATTATTTTGGGGTTGGTCTCTGGTTTGTGTTTGCTTTTTATCCACCATCCACTGAGGGGGTTTCACATTGTTGCACTGACCTACACCCCCCAACAACAAAGGCACTGAGGTAAAATACCTGCAGCGGAACAATAATTATGTGCTGTATTCTGTTTTTTCTGTAACGTTAAAAATACCTTAAGTTGTCAAAACAACACCCCGGGAAGACTAATGGTGCACACATACTCTTTATTCAAATTAGATTTGGCAGAGAGCAATGCAATTTTACTCTTTTCAGTTCTGCTCCAATTCTCTGTTCTGAAAAGAAGAAAAAACTCAATAACAACAAAAGAAAACTGAWAGTTTCTGATTTTAGGGCCATTAAAATCTAAATGACAGAACAAAAGACACAGAGGAAGGAAAAGAACAATTATCCCTCTGAGCGTTCCACAGAAGGAGGAAAGGCTGATTAAACGCAGTCTTGTAAAACTGCCTACCTCACCTCTCCCGTGTTTCCTCCATCTTTTTTTTCTATTTTTTTTTTTTTTTGGCGCCCTCCAATGCATTTCACGTTCTCCCCTGCTCTCTCGGCAACATCACTCCTCCTCTCAACTTATTTTCTCTCTCCCACTCCACTTTCTTTCCCAGCCTGTGCCTTCTCTGCTTCCCGGAGTCTCACCAATCCCTAATGTTGTTTCACACCAGACTGTGTGGAAAATACTAAAAATACATGTGTTGAGTCCTGGCAATCCCAAAAGGCAACTTCATAGAGAACAAAGCAGATAGCGGGGCAGCTCAAATAACTCACGGAGCGAGAGAAAACATGCTGCTCGTTGGGGGTTTGTTACCCCGCTGAAGAAAATTATTACAGGGTTATTGATTTACAGCACAAAATGGATGGAACATAAGTAGGGTTAAGCTCAATAATCCTCTCTTTTATGAAAATGCAATTGTTATTAGCGATTATTCTAATGGGTTGTTATGATTGAGCATTTACTGCGCCAGAAGCCTGCTGCCTTGGCAGAAAAACATGGAGCACACGGGACCGCAAAGGTGTTCTTTTATTTATTTATTTGAGTTTCCCAGAGAGGTACAGGCAGAGCCGGAGAGGATAAGGCAGGGAACGGAAATAGCTGCTAAAATGAAAGCACCAAAATCAAATCTTTGCGCGCAGACACCCGAGCTGCTGACATTCTGGTGACATTTGGTGTGTTGGTGGCATTTCAGAAGACATATGAGCAGGTAGCTCAGTTCACATCATGACACAGAGCCACCTACACCCCGTATATGTTCAGGATGGGGACTGAAAAGTTATTATTGTCTGCATTATTAGCAAAATATCTCATGAACAGGACAATTTTTTAAAAACTTTCATATTGACCTCGACAACTGATTAACTTAGGGTCAACTCGATTCAAGATGGGGGGCACTGCTAACGACTATACCTCTGCAGGTCTGGAGCTAAAACTTGGTGTGGTAGTAGCTGAAAGTCATTCGCAACAAATACTCTAATGCTGCATTCCAGCTGTGTTGTATAAAGTACCACAAAGTGATACTTGAGTAAAAGTACAAGGATCTTGCCAAATAATTACTTTGGTAAACGTTAAAGTGTCCTTTAGGAATAGTACTTGAGTAAAAGTCTTAACATATCTGATATTTTTTGTACTTAAGTCATGATGAATTTTGTCCGAAAACAAAAGGAACCCTCTTCAGTTCTGATGCTCATAGTTTTGACACAACAACCTCCATCTTTGCCTTCCTGTCTGACTCCTTCTCTTTTTTCCCTCCTCTCCTCTCCCGGCTCGATGTACATCCATCAGGGAGGTGCTCCAGTGGAGCGCGGCGGGTCCAACGATTGTCCTCATAAATTGCATGTGTGTCGGGGTGCAGAGGGGCTAAGTGAGCAGTAAATAACAAAGGGCCCCGCCGCCTTCTGTTCGCCACTGCCACGTTTCCGGCCATGCAAGATTACCCAGGATGCCCTAGGTGAGGTGTCTTCTTCTTCCTCCGCGTGATGAATGGACAAAACGAGGGAGGAAGACGCCTTCACCGCCCGGCGTCTGACAGAGAAAAGGTGAGGTCCAGGAACTCTGCTGATTTAAATTGATGAGTGTCTTTATTTCGCTGTACAAAAGGAGAGAAAGAAGCTGTTTTTCCYCCTCCTTTCTGTAATAACCGATCGCATGGCAGATATCTTTAACTGCCGCCATTCTTCACTGTCAGTTTCTTTTATTTCAATCCCACTTACTTTCTCCTGCTTTCTTCTGACCTTTTTCTTTTTTGATACATTTCTTTCCTCTTCCTTTCCTGCTTATTCTCTGTCTTTATTGACTGTGCATTCATAACCACCTCTGGCTACTTTTTTTTTCCCACTCAGTGCCTCTTTGCCTACCTCATATTTACCATTATACTTGTCCCTTATGCTGCCCTTCTCATAACTTCTCAGGCTATCTTAGGCCAAGGAACAAAGAAAAAAACACCATCAGCCCAGAGAGAGAGAGTTTCACATAATATTTTATTATTTACCATATTGTCCATTAGATGACACACTTTTATGGGTTAAAACTTGTGCCAGCAGGAACTGAATTTGAATTTCTCAGATTGGATCTGAATGTGCAAAATTTGAAATTGATTGCAATGGTTTGAAAATTAATTTTACTAAATTGAAACTGAATTTAAAGTTTTGTATCTGAATTAATTTGCTTTGAAACTGTTTTTTGGTTTATTAAAAATTCAGTTTGACTACTTTCACGTTCAGCCAGCCAGAGTAATCAAACACAGATCCACAGATTTACGTTTCACTTTGGTGAAGTTTCCCTTCCCTATGTAACAGAGATGCAATCCACCGTAAAAGTGACAAAAACAGTTATTTTATTGCAGTGATTAATTTTACCAATAGAAAATATTACATATATCACATCATTACAGGATTTTCACAGTTACTTTACAAAGGGAAGCTTTACCAAAGTGAAATGTAAATCTGTGGATCTGTGTCTGATTACTCTGGCTGGCTTTCTCAAGGACCAGGATGTGTGACACAAAAATCTGAACTGGACATGGGTTTTTACGATGTAAAAACAAGTGTGCATTGCCATGTAGCATGGCTTTGCCTGCAGCATTGGACTTGCAGAATGAGCTTTGACCAGGATCAAATATCTTTTCTAAACCAGCTTGTGCCTGTCACGTCAGCAGGTGTTTTTAATTAACTTAATTGTGTGACAATATGAAGTTTGAAGAGATTTTTGTTAAAGTTGCAGTAACTGGATTTGAACCCTGAACTCCCGCATGAAAGCCCACAGCGCTCATCATGAGACTATAGGAGATGTGGCAGAGGACAATCCCAGGGATTGGATTGTATGTATACAGAAAAAGTTTACCTTGCCAATGCAATTATTGACACTTAAGTGCAATTTATTACAGCAATAGGACAACATAAAGACAGTGTTACAGTAAAACATCAAAACACAATCATATTAATATTGTAATCACTGAACTACTGAGTTTAAATAATATAAAACTATGGTGCAGTACCATATTGTGTAGATGCAGCAGGGGCAGTATTGGACCAATACAAGGCTCCATTGACTGCCATTATAATTTATTAAACATAAATATTTCAAAAACTATACGTTTTACAGGCACCAAAAGGCATAGCCATCATTTGGCACAGGGGYTTTACAGATATAAATTACAATGGCAGCTCTAGGACAAAGTATGCAGGAGGAGAAGCATGGCAAAGTTGAGATGACGGATGGGAAACGAATCACAATAGTGTGCATTGCATTGGCAATGCACACTGATTATGGAACTGAAAGTGAAAGTAGTCAAACTGAATTTTTAATAAACCAAAATACAGTTTCAAAGCAAATTAATTCAGATAAAAAAAACTTTAAATTCAGTTTCAAATCATTAAATTTAGTTTCAATTTAGTAAAATTCATTTTCAAACCAATGCATTTAATTTCAAATTTTGCACATTCAAATTCACTTCCTGCTGGCACAAGATTTATCCCGTACACTTTCACCATTTGATGCATCTAAGTAGGTTTTTCTTATTTTTGCTCTCCTTTGTCATTTTGGAGCTTTAATTTTTATGTCTGAATTAGTTGGTCAGTGTCACCTATATGAGCCTCGCTTTGCACATTTTTGTCTGTGCATGCTGCTCCATTAACCTGAACATTTACTGTCAGCGCATGGGTTTATTTCTGACGATCGTTTTTCTTTTTAGCCTGTATGTCTTTTGTCAACATCTCGGCACAAACGTCAGCTGTCAGGCGCAGCAGTGGCGTGGTGATCCGGGCTTGTTTTTGCAGCCCTGGAACCCAGGCACCGTGTTGTCAATGAGTTCACCACCGACTCCTCTGTGCATCAGATTTACACCTGGCAGACTTCTCTGTGACACATGCCTTTTGTGTTTCTTTTTAACACCCTGCTATTACAGAACGTGGCAAGTTTACTTTGCATCCTGTGATTTCACTGCAGCTGCGCCGTTCACTCGAAGCACCAACGTCTTTTCAGGTGAGTTTGAGAAGCAGCTGTAAGAGGGAAAGAAAGCTTACTCAAAGTGAATATCAGAGACTTTGTGCTGCCGTTGAGTTCTTTAAAAAGTGAATTACCAATGCATGAGGCAGTTTGAATGGCAGTTATCTGCCATGTGGAACTAACAAGTCAAAATGAAGATAACATATCTATAGCTTTCCATATGAGCATTACATACTGCATATGGATCAATAAAGTATTTAATAGTTTGACATGTAACCTTTTTAAGAGTATTGATTTGTGCAGCGTTCTGCATGAGGGCTCAATTTGGAGCATATTGACCGTGGTGTTGTTGTGATACGTTGCGAGAGGGCCTCAGGCTCCGGCCAGACGCTCTCAACGCCACAATTATTGACCTCCTTGACCTTCTTCCTACAAAAGACAATATAGGCAAGTCTGTGCGGTTCCTGTATATTGTATTATCAACGCTGCAGAGATAGAAACAGAACCACTCAGTCTACTCTTATCAGGACCAAGAATACTGAAAACGCTTCTGTCTCGAGGAGAATTCCCATTATGGCTGTTTATTGAACCTCGACGCTTAGCGAATGCTGATCCACTCCTCCTGGAGCTTCTGTCAAATAACAGCTAGTTTATTGCTCAATCAGTTTCATTTTTATTTATTTTCTACAAACTGTTTTGCCAAAACTGCCCTGGTTTAACTGAATTATGATACAGATTTCTAACACTTTGCTTCATTTTGTTTAGGGAAATTACATCCTTTGGGGGGAAAAAGTCTCTTATTACCAAAGTTTTTGCCAATTTGAAGCAATGTTCTCTGAAACCGCTCAGTGTCTGAACGAAATTAAACATCCAGTTTACAAATTAACATTTTAATTACACTTGTTTAGAGATGTTGCAGTGTTTTTGGAACTTGCAGCCTGGTTTAAAACCAAACAAAGAATTAATCTGTACTCTGAAATGCCATCAAACTACAAAAAACAACAAGATATTGACTTATTTAGAACAGGGTTATTAATCAGAAAATGGCAGTCTGTGTAATGTGGTACATTAATTAAGTCAACCCCAGACACAAATGTGAGCAAAAAATAAATAAGTAAATACAAATGAAAACAACTATGGAAATTTATAGATGGTGAGTTTCGTGGTGATTGAATTTGAAACATTTGAAAAGAAAAGTATATTTTTGCAAATTTTGCGCTGTAGAAAAAAATAGGTGTAAATGGGCGTGGCCTGTATCATGTGACTCAGTCTTGTCCAGAGTTTATGTTGCTATAAGACAAACAGTTTTGCAACTTATGGTTTAGAATCCAGAGGACCAAATGCAAAGACATYATGGAAGTATATAGAACTACTGGAGAATGTGGAAACCACGTGACTGTGTGATCTCCTGTAGAAGCTAAGTTGCTACGCATAACGGGCAACAGTCTGGATTTACCATTACTGTTCATTGTGGCAACGTAGTAAAATAAAAAGGACCGACAATGTAGAAATCATAATAATATTAAGAAATATTTTCTTAATATTTTAGAGTGTATGTAATCTATCTAATATTTTAAATAATGCCAGAAAGCTGACTGTGTTATGGATTTTACCAGCAGAAGAGAAGCAGGAAAACATCTCATTTCAAAACACAAGTAAGCAGATTTGATATTATTTGGATCCAGTTGGGCTTGCTGTTAATCTAATAGTTGTTGTGATGATTGTGAGCTGATGCCCTGTTAGGTTGCTGTTTTTGCTCCGTGTTGTTACAAGATTGGAGGAGCTCATTCTAGGGTTATCTAAGTCTTTGAAAGACATTGATTAGAGCACCACCTGTAGTTTGACATGTCTGACTATTTTTTCTCAAGTTTTCTCAAATTTCTCAAGTTTTTTTTTTATTACAGTGTTAAAATCTTTTCTCTAGTAGTCCCTGCGGTTTGGGCGGCAGTAGGAGTTTTTCTGGTGGAATAATAATAATAATAATAATAATAATAATAATGGAACAGATAAATAGGGTTCCATGCTCTGCTGGATGCATGGAAACGCTGCTACATTTCAGCTGCGTTCCCCCTGCTCGCATACTTGGACCCCTAATAATAAAAAAGCAAAAACCATAGGTTTCCATGCTCTGCTGGATGCATGGAAACGCTGCTACATTTCAGCTGCGTTCCCCCTGCTCCGTGGGCTTGGACTCCTAAAAAAAACTGCAGGGATGAAGTTTGTATAATAGACTGTAGTCAAACTTCTTATGTACATTCAAATTTGATAGCTTTAACTTTTACCTTATTTCTATTTTAATTTGTAATTTTTGATATTTTTAGGGAGGACGATTTAAAATGAAAGTTTCGCGGCGCTCCTCTGCGCAACTTAAGGATGTAATATTATTCCCACCAAGCGGTCTATGAAGTTGAAGAGGCAAATTCCTACTTTTAACTTCCCCATCATAACAGTTACAGCTGTGAAACCACATAACGATTACTTTTAAAAGTTGTCCCGCTGGACGAGGTGGGATGGGTGAGCAATATCCTCTCTCCCCTCTCCTCCCGTGCTTTTCTTCTGTATGTGTGCRTCAGCCTTCGGCTTCCTTCTGCTGACTTGGGCATCAGAGCAGAGGTAAGCAGCCTCCCTTTACTAGAGGTGACCCCCCGGAGCCTATTAACATCACACACACTCTGAGTGGCCAAAACCCACTCCCTAAATGAACTCTCGTCTCCCCCTCAGCCACAATCATCGCCGGAGCCCACTGCTGGGTGAATTAGATTGCAGGCTTTTTAATATGGCTCTTAATGGTTTATAAATTGCACGTAATGATTCCTCCTCTCCTCTCTCACTCTTGCAGGGCTTTTTATGGCCCTTCGACTATCCAAGGGAGTAGGTGGGATTTAATATATGTTGGAGGAGGCAGAATAAGGAGCTGAAACAAGAAGCGCGCTGCCTTTCCTGCCCGACTTTAACGCTTCCCTTGGCTATAGAGTCAGAAGTCTTGGAAATAATACTGGACACTGGTGCTCTCTGGCTGCACCGTGCGACCACTGGGATMTGAGAATCCTGTATGATGAAATGGTCACCAGAGACGTGCAAGTATCAGGAGCGGCGAAAGAAAAACACAAGCCACRCCTCGAGGAAAAGTGTAAATATATCAAGAACTGGATAAAAACACTCTGGATGCCACTTCAGTGTTAATATTTATGTAGTTGTACTTTCAGTGTAGTCCATATATTAAATTTAGGTTGTAGTGTGTGTGTGTGAGGGGGCGGGTGCTGTGGCTCGGTGGTTAGAGCAGTCAGTTTCCACAGAGAGTCGGAGGTTTGATTCCATCGGTGCAGTTAAGTCAAACTGAACCCTCGTTTCCTCCAATTTAGTTTGTGGGATTTAAATCACTGATTAGACTCTGTAAAATGATTTATTCTGATTAGCTTCATATAAATGTAATAGTGCTGTATGSATGCCTGAGGGCACAGATCAGGTTGTAAAGTGCTTTAAGTAGCCTGGTTGGCTATAAGGGACTCAGTCCATTTACCATTTAGATCAAACCTAACATTTGAACTGTTCTCAGTTGAGTAAATGTTGTGAAAAATAAGAAACTCATGGTTTATTTCCAAATAAGAGGTTTATTTTCATTGTATTTCACCGCATTGCATCACCAGGTTTCTACAGTAGCCTGGAATGGACAAAGCAAACAATGACACTTCTTTACTTTTTTTGTTTTTTTTTACTTTGTATGCTCAGAAAAGCTGTAGAGCCACGGCTGCATTTGAGATGTCAAAAAAAGTTTCCTTCTGAATTATTTGTTTGTGAAAGCATCTCATTCTTATTCCGCGATCCGTTTTATTCTCTGCAAGATTAACAAATCATGTTGGTTTTAGCTGCGACAAGGCCAAATTAAAAGCCCAAACCTTTATTTATTAACATTTTTACTTTAATCACAATCATTCAACCACATTCCTTTTTTACGTTTTAATTTCTCCAAAATCAGATTTAAAATCAGAGTTTAGTCAGAAAGTCAAACATGAAATGGATTTCTGTGGCAAATAAAAGCTTTTATTTAAATGGCAATCCGCAACAGTTATAAACTAAACTCCCTTTCTGCCTCTGGTGCTTTTCTGYTCTCTCTGCAGCATCTTTAGCTGCTGCCATCCCCGCTGCAGGACATCCATGTTTGCGTGTAGAAAAATGAAAAAAAGCAGAGGTCACATAAGAAGCCAGAGTCAGACAGTAATTATAACTGCATGCTTATAATCATTGCTTTGCTGAAAATAGTCCTCACTTACTAATTTTGTTCTTTCACCCACTGCTACTCATCTTCTGACCGCCCTGATTCGTCTGGTGTCCTCTGCACATAAACTGTGCTCATAATTTAAATTACAGCAGATTTGTCAGAAACATGCTGCCTACTCATTGATGCGTCAGTTTTTATATTCCAGTGACGTTTTACGTAACATAAAATCGCACATCTTCTGACTGATTGATGTTTCGGTTGGAGGAAGTGAAGTAGTTCTTTTAATTTGACACCTTTAATGATAGAAATATATTACTGTTTTGTGTTTTCTTAAATGAAAGTAGCATTTATGAAGAATAATTACCCACCACTGAATGCCAGAGATTTTGGGGAGATATTTTGTGTTTTCCCATTGTGTAGTTCCGTTCTGGACCAAGGTTAAAAATGGTTTAGGATTTTTCATTGTAGTTTAGTTTTATTTCGTTGACTTTTTTATTGTTATTCAGTCAGTTTTAACTAGTTTTTACAGTGGATTTGCTAGYTTTTATTAGTTATTATTGTTTTAATGCTTAGTTTTAGTTTATTCAAAAAAAAMWAMTAWWRTAGGAACTAATAAAAACTAAACTAACATAAACTAACATAAACTAACATATTTATCAATGCATCCTCAAGCTTATGAGGTTCCTGTGAGTTAACTAACCAGCAGCTATTTGGTCGCTAGTTAAAGCAGTTTATTATAGCGACACCTACCTAAAATAATTGCGTAACTCAATTTTGCCAACTAAAAACGTGGGCGATTATTTTAGTATGATGAAAATAGTTGTCTCCAACCCGATGCTACTTGTTGCTAGTTTTTCATGGGAGCTAGTGAGAGAARCTAGCATGTGAAGATAGTTAACCAACTTGTGCTAGCTTGATTTATATTGTTTTTCTCTTGAGAAGTATTCCACCTATTTTGTCCCGTTTCCACTACAAGACACTTGCTTTTATTTTTCTCAAAGTCATATTCAAAGAAATTCAGAAGTGGACGTTGCTGCTTTCTCCCTATTTTTGTTGTCGTCATTTGGCAGACGGTGCTGAGCAGCAGCAGACTGTAAAAAAGTGTTACGGCCCACAGCTAATGTGAAACTTCTCTATTAAAAAAATAAGATAACAAGATCCACGTCTCAAAATAAATTGACAAACACTAAAACTAAGGCTATTCTATCTATAATTTCAGTTAGTTTTAGTTAGTTTTGTTAAGATTATATAGTTTTAGTTAGTTATAGTTTTTTTTTTTCATTTTATTACAGTTTTTATTTATTTTAGTTAACTAAAATGTTTTTTCAATTTGAGTTTTTGTTATTTAGTTACCGGTAGTTTTAGTTAACTATAATAACCCTGTTCTGGACCACAACCAAGTACCGTATTTTTCAGACTATAAGCCGCACCCGCCATTTAAAAAAAAAACCTGCGAACATTAACATATAAGCCGCACCGGACTATAAGCCGCACCGGACTATAAGCCGCACCCCCAACATAAAAAAACAGTACACCCAAAATTGTCGTCAAAAAAGTGAATTCAACATCAAAACATAAAAGGAAAACCTTTAAGAATTAAAGTTTGGAGGAATACGGTTCATTTAACTGACCTTATTTTGGTAGTTTTCTTTAACAGTTTCTGATCCAACAAAACGTCTCATTCATCGTCCTCCGGCGCACTGAAACCATCGAAGTCCTCCTCTTCAGTGTCGGAGTTAAACAAGCTGAGAAAAGCTGCGTCACACAGCGGTATCTCTTGTCCTCCTGGGGTAATGCTGGCTCTGAAGCTGTGGTGCCCTCTTCACGTAGCAGTCCAGCCTTCAGGCACCCACTGGTGATGGTGGACTCATTCACTCTGCTCCACGCTGTTAGGATCCACTGGCAGACATCAGGAAATGATGCTCTTCGCGTTCGGCCAGTTTTTGTGAATGATTTATCCCCGTCAGTCATCCAAGCCTCCCATTCAVCCCTGAGTGCTGCTTTAAATGCACGATYCACACTGAYGTCCAGGGGTTGYAAAAMCTTTGTTGTACCTCCAGGAATAACAGCAGGAATTGAGTTTGTTTTCTTGATGGCTGCTTTCACCGAATCCATGATGTGGGCCCGCATACTGTCCAATATTGTGTCTGTCGAAGATCCGTCGTGTCGTGTCTGCTACTAGCTAAAACAAAATGGCGCTACACCTCCGGCTAAGCTGGCAGTATGGTCGATCAGCTGTCGACCGGTCGACGCGCCGTCAAGTGATTGTTCTGCGTTTGTTTTTACACTGACCTTTCATAGTTCCCCCGAGAAACCCCAGTCTAGCTGCTGGGAAAGCCCTCCCGCTCCAGCAAACGTCACTGCATGGGATTCCTTCCCCGGGGAGTGCAATTCAGAAAAAAAAGTCCGCCGCTCTTCACTTGACGTTTATCCACAAACTGGTCCTGGATTAAGCTCCAAAGATTTTATCAGTCAGATTCCACCGTGAAAAATGTCTGTTTTATCCCCTTTTATGAGTTTTTGGCCATTGACTATCTTTAAATCGCTGCTTCCTGCACAACAGTCGGCTCTGGAAGCGATTGCTTTTTTCTCCTTTTTTTTCCTGTCTTTTTTTGAAGCGAGTGGTTGAAGCAAATGCAGCATAAGAGCCCCCTGGTGGCTGAAGAAAAAAATCCATGTATAAGCCGCACCGGACTATAAGCCGCATGGTTCAAAGTTCAGGAAAAAAGTTGCTGCTTATAGTCCGAAAAATACGGTAACTATGTTACCTTCATTTGTTATGAAAATGCTGTATTTATCAAAAATAAACTTAACAGTTTCTAAACGCCTCCTACCATTTCAGACACTTCCACTTCAGCAYGTCTTCACAACAGTGCTTCGMGGCAGGGGTGCTCTGTAGGGCGGGAGCTCAGCTGCAGACTGAGCTCCAGGGAGGAGCTTTGCGTAAATAGGCGGAGCTTTGTACCAGCAAGCATTTAGGCAGCTCCACATGGCTACCAGGAGAGTCGAGGATTTCTCAAACACGCATGAAGGGATCAAAGCAACACTCTGGGTTTTAATGAGGCTATGATGTAACATGATATAAGCTAAAAAAAAGGTTGGACAAAAATCTGTTAACAATCAATTAGTGCTTTAAATGATGTGTAACTAGCTCGCAGCTACTACCACTTCAAATCTCAGCTCTGAAGAAAATTGTAAAATTGACTGAGTTATTGTCAGTTTTGTGTTTTAAGGTCAATTAGTCGATTAGCTGTGGCGGCCATCTTGGATCAGTTTGACTCTAGAGGTTCATCATTTTTAAATGTTTGTCCAGTGATTACATCCTGAGTTTCAATAAAGTCTTGCTAACAGTCAAACAAACCCACACATGGTTCGCCAACATAAATATACAACATAAATGTTCATTTTTAAATATTCCTAACTCAGTGCTCTCCAACTCATTATGTGAACAAACAGGATGGAAGATTTGCTCCAGTTACTGTCCAGAGTTTTATTTTATTTTATTTTATTTACATTTTAAAAGTTACTGCATCAGGAAATAAAAAAAATGAATTATGTGTTTTTGTGAGACGAGACACAAAACGAGACACACGTGCAAAACGCATGTTTTCAGAAAATGAAACAAACTGTTCWTTACATAGGTTCTGTTCTAATTGCTAACTTTTTTCACATCTTGCATACAGAAAGTCAACATTTTCCCTCCCAAATTGTCTAGAGACGKGTAATTAGAGAAGAGTGGTGGGTTTTCAGTTCCTAATGCAGCTCACTATGAAGAGCAGCCGGCACAAACCCAGCCCCGTACTTGATGGTGCGTTGGCACTACGTGAAATTCCAATTAACTGACCCGAATGTCTGCAGGGAGTGTTTGAGCGTGCGGTGAGAATGCAATTATTTTCCGTCTTGTGCTTCGGACATCAAATGTGTGGCGAGCATCGGCAGTAGAAGCTTGGAGTTTGTATTGTGTATTTTAAAGGCAGTTTTGTGATGTTTTTTTTTCCCTTCTTCTTCTACCTCTAACTTTGCCACTCTGCTTCCTGTGGAAGTGTAAAATGTGATTCATTATTTGCTTCCAATGGTCCACTGGGCAGCAGGAGCAGAAAGGGAGCACAAGAGAGAAGTCATTTACATTGTGTGCAGCGAACCTCTAAAAGTAGCAACGCTCAGCTAGACTTCCAGTTGCACAGCCACTGTCATAGCGAGGTGCAGTGTTTGTAACAATGAATCCTAGCCAACTGAAAGTCTCTTAGGAAACAAGGCACCGTGGGCAGTAATAAAAAAAAAAGAATCTGCTACCCAGCTCCTCTGCCTGACAGAACAGGTGGGGAAGCAAAGCTCTGTAACTGCCCCATGCTGTGCTTTAAAAAACTGTTCAAACAACTTCGTTTTTCAAGGAGGGACCTACTTTCACTGGTTTTCTGTGAGGTTTGTGCTTTTCCCCGTGCTGCCGCCAGGTCTTTGGTGAGAGGAGAGCARCTCCAGGGACACAAAAATGTCTATATAAATAAATACCTTGGTATTTATTAATAATATATAAAAAAGCTCTGTTGGGTATTAATCTCAGTGTGGCAGAAAGACACAAAAACAGAAAAAAAAACTTTAACCAGTTTTGTGTTTTCTAAGGTGAGCCGTCTGCAAATGGTTACATTTTAACAAAGATCTTGTGCAATTTGTTAGCTTTCAGAATGTTTGTTATAGATAACTCTCAGCTACTGCCATAAAATTTAACACAWTATATTTATATTTGATTAGTTTAAAACCATTTATATGGTCAGTTGGTTGTGGCAGCCATTTTGAATTAAGTTGATGGTAATAGATGTAAATGAAATTATTACTTTCTGCATGTTTTTTATTGAAATGTGTCCAGTGGTTTTAAAATAAACTACTGTAACTGTTTTCACCTTTAAAGTGCCTGTGACATCCTTTTTTATTAATATGAACGCATTTTTAGAAAGATGACAATAATAACATATTGCAAAAACAATATTATGCCGCTGAGATGAACAGTTGAGATATTTGCTTGTACAGTAACAGGAAGTGACATCAAAGGGGAAAGTCTGCATGTGAACAGAGCATTGTTCAAAGAGCTGACAACACAGACTGTGGAGAAGAATCTGTTTTTAGATTATTTTAGAGTCTGTCAGAGAGAGAGAAAGTTTAAATAATATTGTTTCATTAAACAAAGAGCAGGGAGTTCCTTTTATTAAAGAATTACCCTTTGATGTCACTTCCTGTTTCATTTTGTCTCAGTCAAATAAAAAAATATGCCAGTTATGTGACAAAATGGGTAAAATCAGGTATATAGTGTCAAGTTTCCTAAATATGAAGATGAATCTTGTTTTTTTTTTTTTTTTTTTTGTATTTGAAGGATATGCACATCACAGGCACTTTAAGGTGATAAATAAACACAGGTGAGGATAAAACCTAGACAGAGATATAGTCAAACTTAGGGATTACAAAATAAGAGCTTCGACTAAAACCATAGAGGTGTAGAAATGTGAAAGAAATGTGGAGCCCTGT